CTCTGGCTTCCTCCCACAGTCCAATGACATGCAGTTAGTGGGGTTAGGTTAACTGGTGATTCTAAATTGCCCAGGGGTGTGAATGTGAGTGCGAATGGTTGTCAGTCCCTCTGTGTTAGTGCTGTGACAGACTGGAAACCTGTCCAGGGTGTATCCCGCTTCTTGCCCTATGGCAGCAGAGATAAATGACCCTGAATTGGATAAGCAAATGAGGATGGATGGATGGATGGATGGATGGATGGATGGATGGATGGATGAAATAAACTGACTATCAAATCTAAAGTGAACACCTGACTGTCACCTCACTCAAGTAATTGCTGTTTCGCATCAAAATGATTATGATTCTGTTTACCCAGAGGTTTTCATCCAAACACAGTCGGAATTTAAATAAATGCAATTTTCTTGCATGTTGATGATCAGCATCAATATTTAAACATCAAGTGACACTTCAAATCAAATGCCCACTGGGAGCAGTGCTACAAATCATTTCAGAGAGGAATACAAAACACAATCCTAATCTTCTTATTCAAAAAAATAGAAAGGGGAGGGGGGGGGTATGTAAATGAAAACTTAGGAATTGCAAACACTCAAATTCCAAAGAGCCAGATTAGGCTCGCTGTGTGATCTGAAGAAGTGGCAGATAAAGAAACAGAGCCAGAGTGGTTGCTCCTGCAAAACAATCCATGTGCAGTTGCAAACAGACTGAACAGCAGTTGACAGGAAATAAACCCAGCCCAAAAGAAGCTGCTCACTCTTCACTGTATGCTAATGTGTGTCCAGTGACTTGATTGTTCTGTTAAGCGGCTGAGTCTGCTGTTGCACCGACCACAGCGATCAATAACACAACAGCGATCTGCCAGTACTGAGAAACGCTCAAGAGCCTAGTTCTGGCAACAGTTAAGTGGAAATACAGACAGCTTCCTTTTTTGTGATTGGTGTATTCTGTCATTAAATATAACGTTCAGGACACGAGTCGACACGTTTGTCTAATGATCAGCTATTCGTTTGCTGCTCGGTCTGTTTGGGCGTGCTTTCTCACAGAGCAGTGTTATATAGATTTATATAATATTAATATTGGTTTTTGAAGGGTTTGTTTTTTTTTTTACATGTAAATCCACAGTGTGTTGTATTTGTTGCAGTGCTGTCTGCCCTTTCAGGCTAAGTGTGATGAAGCTCCTCATCCGGAGTATGAAAGGTCACTGTATCTGTGAGAGACAATGAGATTCTACCTGCTGCAAATTATACATGCTGCAGGAATATGAATGCACAAACCAAGGGCATCTAATCGACCATCACCGTTTTAATCAGTTCATTTCCTTTAGGATGAGGACCTAAAAGTCAAAGGTACAAATGAGTGTACTTAATCAGTACTGTGGAGCACACTACACTTCACAAGTGGATGGAGTTTAAAAGTTGCAAAGAGCTTTTTTGCGAAATTCAAATAAAGTACATAAAGTGTACTACAAGTTATTTTTAACCAGTGCTTTCAGTCCAGGCAACATTCACATGCATCACTCACTCAATGAGGGCGTGTTCTTAAACAACGTGATATTAAAGGAGCAGCAAATAAACAGACTCTTTAGGTGTTCTATAAAGGCTGTCGGCACCGATTGCATTGCTTTATAACCCACATAACAAACCCAGAGCATAAAGTCCCAAACCATCAGAATACTGGAACTATCTATACAATGATATGAAAGTATAACACTGATAGGATGGCACTGCAGTGGTAAATCCAGGCCTGTCTCGTGTCTGGTGACTGACACGGCAGCAACGTTGATTACAGGGATCAGCTGTCATGTTAAAGCAAATAAGTGGCCTGCTAAGCGGCCTGCCTGCACTCAAACGTATTATTACCATGCAAGGTGACTGGTCTGATGCTTTCGCCTGCTAGGTGACGCATTGTGTGTGTCACTATTCCGAAAAAACCAACATTGGAGAAAAAAGGGGGAACAAATCTTGTGGACTAAGTGGAAGCAGACACAGCATCACAAGTAATAAAATGACTCACTGTTGAGTAAATTTTAAGCATGATTGGAAAGAAACCACAACTGAGATTCAGTGAAAGTAAGATCGAATAAAAGTAAATACTAAGAAAAAGCAGTGATGCAAAGATGGATATGCATGGGTGGGATGTGTGCTTGTGTAGTGATATTTCTCTTCTTTACTTTCTTTCATATGTTTAAGAAAGTGTAAATACATATGCACTGCAGTACTATATAGACAGTAATTTTATGTCTAAAGTTGTTTTAAGAGAGCACAATGCTAAAAGCAAAAACAGAAGGTTACGGGTGGAGGGAGCGGGGAGTTTTTGAATGTTTTCTGCTCGACCACTTCCAATTTGCATAAGAATGTTTGATAAAAATGCAAGGATCAATCAAATGTAATGACTGTTGTGAAATTTTGGGATTTTGGTTCATATTTCAAATACTTTTCAATATGTATTGTTTTGAAAAACGGTCCGTTGACCCACATTCAAGCGCCCCAGTTTTCATATATCAAAATCTGAGGCAATATTTGAACATGAATATTTCAAAAACTGTTAAAGATAAAAGCCTTTTTTCTTCTACTGGTCTTTCATGCTATCAAAATGAATCAGATTCTAAAATATGGGACAGATATATTAAAAAATGTCAGATATGGTTAAAATATGAAAAGTCCACATCTGGAAACTCCAGAGTTTTGTTCTGTCTGAATTAGACTATGTGCTGATTTTTGTTTTTTTCATTTTTGCTCATTCCAGCATGAAAGTTGATGAAAGTATCACTCTCTTTATTTTTGTCAGTAATTATTCGTGTTCTATTTTTGCATTATTGTGAAATGTAACAACACACAATCTGATGTATTTTATTAGCATGTGCTCAAGTATGGGACTTTTTTTTTCATTTGAACTGAACACTCAGACATTTTTAATGTATCTGTTCCAAATTAAATATCCTGAATCATGTTAATGATTCAGGAAAGAGCAGTGAAAAGTCTTATGTCTTTTTTCTTCAATAGTTTTTGAGATATTTATGTTCAAACATCGCCTCAAATTTCAATGTGCAAAAAAACGGTGCAAAAGTGGGTTGATGGACCATTTTCAAAAAAATATATCTTGAAAAGTATTTTATATATGAAGCCTTTGGACAATAATATTGTCTAAATTAAGTGGTGGAGGTGGTGTTGTGGCCAGAAATTGCAGTGCTCCAACATTTTCTGCTCATGTCAAATTACATGTTTATGCTAGCATTGAAGGCAACTTCAATGCTAGCCTGAAACATTACCACTGTTGCTGACATAGCTGGTCATCTTCCCCCCATGGAAAAAACAAATGTCCAGGGTAATTTGTGTATTAAGTATTGTATTTGAAATCTTGCCCTGTCTACATAAATCTAATTCACTTCAATGAAAATACAGACTAAGGCTAATCATTAATCATCAGCAGGCAGACTGTGCTAGTTTACACCTGCAGACACAAAAACTCGATTCTGCACTCTCTGAATGTCTTATTGATGGGCAGGCAGAGTGCAGATAGCTGTGTGGAGTGATCTGGGATGAATGATCTGTTTCTGAATGCGACACCATGTGGACACAGTGTGTCCGGAGAGGCAATGAAACAGCCATTTGAACTTGTCCACCAGTTTAATGGTTTTGGTCCCAGTGGTTCCAGATTCTTCCAGGTCTATTACTGAGACGGAAATACACTCACAACCAGTCTACACTCACCAGTTGCACCAGCAAGTATGTCTTTGATGTAAAAGCACAGGGAGAACAACCACACAGGAAAAGCCCCAGCTGACCAGGACTTTCAGTGTCACTGTGCCAATTTTCCACCCTAAGCTCACTGCTTGCTCTGTTTACACGTGGGATATCTGCATTATTGAAGAGCACTTATTGCTTTTGCAACAAGTCGAATAATACAACGCAAACGATAACCATGTGTGTCTGATTTTAGGTCCAAACATAACACTTACGGGCACATAAAGGCCATGTGGCAATCCTAACACTCAGTGGTAGTGAGTTTTCCCAGTGGGGGAGCAGATGGTTTATTGATCATTGTTGGGTCTACTTTCCACGAGATGCTGCTTTAGAGGAGTTTCTTTCAACACTTTCTCCGATTTCCAGCCAGTAACAATATCCGACAGCACAAATAAATTTAGGTAAATAAGGTAAATCTGCAGCACTTCCACTAGGGGAAAGTCATAATCGCTACTAAACCCAAAGGCAGACTTTAGGTTGATAAAAACAGATGTTCTGCAAATCTTTTGCATAATTGAGCATTTAGAAAGATGGATGTTATGTGGCTCAATATTTGGAGCAGTAAACCTCTGCAGGTAAGTGATATTATGAGACAGGAGTGATACTATATCCTCTTAGCATGGAAAACAGAACATCTGAAGCGTCTCCTAAACAAGGTTTATCCAGAAATTTGAGTCCGGGCAACAGTCCAACTGTTTCCTTTCTTCAATCAGTTTTTTTAAATATATTTTTTCCCTGCTTGACACGAGTAAGCTGTTGCCATGGCAGTTCAGATGAAGGAGGAATGATAACTGTTTCACCACAGCAGTTTGTGAATTATTAAAACCTAGAGGACATGAATGAGCAGGCTGAGAAATAGAAAAGAAATGAGACAGATTGAGGACTTGTCGCTTTCAGTGCGTTTTGCTGGAGACTGTTTATTGGATCTTTTCATGTCTCTCAAGGCCCACGACTGTGTAGATGAGACAGACGCAACCACAAATTTACAAGTAGTTCCAAGACTCCAGCGTGTCCTCAGAGTTTTTAAAGGAATATTCAAGAACGTTCATGAATAGTTGAAGAGATCCATTCATGAATAGTGCAACAGAGCAAACAAGGAGAATAAGGGAGAAAATGGTGGCAGTGCGCCATGAACTTTAACATCAAACTGTCTCAATAGAAGTTAAATACAGATCCATCACTTTAATAAAAAAAAATAAGAATAAACAATTTCTTTATATTAAAGTACAATCATTTTTTAAAGCATTCTTACAAAGCCAAAAGAATCAGCTCAATTTATTTGTGTAAAAGAGATGCAAAAGCACGGTGTGCATCCAAAACCGTTATATTACATTACATAACCACATCTGCAGTCAAACACAGGACTTCCCTCCAAACAACTATCCAAAAGCAAATGCATACAGTTATTGCTGGAAGTGAAACAGAGTACTGACTATAAATACCATGAGTGATCTCAGTTAATGTTTCGTTTTTATTTTTTTTTTTTACAAATATTAATGATATGACAGAAATGTTCCACAAGAGTAAAACAGAGACACTGACAGATATCACACAGCCACTCTGATGGAGGCAATAAATTAGAAAAAAAAAATGTATGCATCTCCAAAAAACTAACAAAAACAAAAAAAACTAAAGAAAAGAATATTTGTGTTTGCATGCATTGCATACACAAGGACAGTTTGCCAAACAGTACCAGCCATGGTGCTTTGTGCACACAGAATAAAAAGTAAATACCATATTCACACCACAGACTTTAGATTTCTCCTCATCCCCAGCTCCGTCATGTGAAAACAGTCAAAACAGCCTATAAATTCTAGCTTTTTTTTTTCTTTTTTGGGGGGGGGGGGGCATGAGCTTGGGAATACAAAAGAAAATCTAATTATTTGCATAGTGTTAAATATATGGAGTATTTACCAAAGAGGTCACCAAAACAAACCTCATCACCAAGTGGTGGAGTGGCTGAGTGGTGGACTGTGACATAGAAGATAGAAATCCTGCATTGATTTCCTATAAAGCACCAGGCTGCAGTTACATCTCCTGACCACCGGGGTTCTCTAGCAGTGGGAGTCAGCATAGCCTTCAGCTTCAGGAGGCCTCTTTTTAAAGTCTTTTAAGTAATACTCTTCGTCTGAGTCCTGGAAAAGAAAAGGAAGAAATACTTATGGACAGGTACACACAAAGACACAGAACAGCTACACAGGAAAAAATTAATCAATAATTTACAAATCCCAAAGTCCTGTTGTCAGACACCGAGGTCATGTAAAATGAATCATGTGAAATGTATCTCGCAGACATGTCTCGGTAAGTTATTTATGGCTTTGTAGAAATTCTGTACTCTTACCATCACATATAGGTCACAGCATTTGGCCCTATCTTCTTTGTGGTTGTATCCTGGGATGCCATATTCATCCCTGATGAATGCAGAACGGACAGCAAAGATAGTTACGAACGACATAATCACATGTTTGCAAAGTAAAAACCTGCCTGTGCTGTTTAGATACAGTACGCACAAATCACCTTTCAAGCCCACAATAAAACACATACTTTTCAACTGAGGCTCTCCATTTGTTGTTTCCACTTATGTCCATGTTTGCCACATTCAGTCTATAATTGGGCAGCAATTTAGGATATATTATCAGCTGTTAAACTATTTGAAGACCCAGTTTAGCTTTTTCCTCTTCATCTGAAAGAACAATGCCATCTGCCATAAATCTAATAGTGGACTATTACCTTCCCGCTGGCTCACTCGCTAGGTCACCATTGTGGCAGTCATCGATACGTCACTGATGTCTCGTTAGAGAGTTTCTCATGCCACAGTCGCATTGACTCCAGCTGTAGTATTTATTTTGCTGTGGAGATCCGCTGCAAACTAGGGCCACTCTGGTATCAACGTTTCCTTCTAAGCTACAGGAGAATTGTTTCATGTTTTGTAGTGTGAGCTCAGAGCAGAACAAGGACTACCATCATGGACGTTCATCAGAGGGAGGGAGGGAGAGGCAAACTGATTTTAAAACCCTGTTATTCAGCTCCACAAAGTAGCTGTCCATTAAAATCTTTGCACAGGAGCACCTTACACACTATATTATTTTAAAGTATATTTCCAGACAGACAGCAGCGTGTGCACATTTCTGATGCATACATTTGTATAAATATGTTTATATACTGGTACAAATGAAATATGAAACTGTGGGAAACACTGGATTTACACCACAAACAGACGTTAGCACTCAGACAATTATTCCTCAATAACTACAAAATAAATGTTTGAAATTATAATTCCCTATTAAAATGAATCCCATTTAATTATGTCAGTTAAGCATTAAGATGACACAAGCGCTCAGTTAGCTTGGCAAAGCATAAAGACCAAAAAAAACAAGGAAGACAGGCTAGTTCACCCAAAGGTAACATCAGATTTTCAGCAAATACAAAGATCACTGATAGATATATTCTAATTAAAATATTTTGGCCTTTTTACAAGTTTTCTATTCAGTGTTAAATAGCCAATTTTTGTTATTCTCTTGTTTTTTACTGTAAAGATGTATTTGAGTGTAGTTAACAGTATAAAAACAGGAAAAAGTCAAAAGACAAAGATGAAACAATTTTTTAAAAAGATAATGGTAACAGTGGCAAGCTGCTTATATATAAGTATATAATGTTCGTAGAGCACCTAAGATTAATGTGAACCACAGCTGCAAGCCAGTACTTGTTTTAAAAGCTTCTTCCTGTATGAACCAGTGAAAAACAAGCCAGTACTGGCTGAAACCCTATGTGACTTCTAATCACATGACATACCAGCGAGAAGTCAGTTAAAGAGTGATTGATAGCCACTCTTCAGAAGCAAACACCCATTTTAAAAACTTAGATTCCTGTTTAACGTTTATTAAATCCATTTGAAAAAGCATGTCTATAACCATCAATCCTATTTATCACCTGCTGTGACCATCATTATCCCCTGGAGAGCCTCACCAGTGATTGGCAGAATGCATCTACTCACCCCTCTGTGACCTCTATGGGTGATCTGTGGGCCTTTGATTGGTTACGCTCTTTCTTGGGACACATCATCCGTCCAATAAGAATGAGGGTTATGACAGCAGAGGGAAGGAGGATGAAAAAAAGGAGGACTGCAACATCTGAGAAGCGAATGCTGGGCACTGAGGAGGAGGAGAAGAGTGTTTGGTCATCAGGGGCACAGTTACATGATGTTTATGATCACACATCTACAGGACTTCATACAAATCTGCACTTGGCAGTCACCACATATACACACACACACACACACACACACACACATACATACTGTCACACAGACTGTAAACTGTATACATACTATATACAGCAGCTCTATGAGTGCCACTATACAGTTGATGATAGCACGGAAAACGTGAAACAGTTTGTAATATTCTTGCAGAGAAGAGATGAAAAGACACATGGCTCACGTCTTTACAGTAAATATGCAGCTGAATCCAGCAGCTGATTAGAACAGCTTGCCTGTCTTTACCCATAGGTAACAAATCCACCAACCAGCATATCGCCAAAGCTCCCTGACAAAAAGTTCATTGCTAATCTGTACAGAAAGAGAAAAAAACAACAACAATGGGCCATTACAGTGGGGCTACATGCCAGACTCTTCCCTGGCAGAGAATAGCAACTTCCTGGTTGGGTGGAAGCCGTTCCCGGAAAAATACAGTCAACATTTCACATGTTCATTTTACGTACCAGAGTTACAAACTGCACAGACAAGAGTGGGTTCAATCTTCCCTTCTAGGTTTTTATAAGCAATTCAAAATGTGATGAGCTACACTCCAGTCATTCTCTAATCATCTACCGTCCACTCATAGCTGACGCAGGTAAATACATGTGAGACCAAATGCTTAAATCATGACAGGCTTACACAAACACAACATGGATGTTTGGATTAGTCTGCCATCCATTAAACTGTGAGGCTGGCATTGGAATTTTAAGCCTTTCCTAAATCAGCCCAGTGTCTGCATGCACACACTGTACAACTGATAATGAGAGGCACCAAAACCAGACACCTGAGTTGAAGTCAGGACAAACACAGAAAGAGTCTGAATGCAAGACAAGGATTTGACTTGTTAGGTTAGCATCTTACCCCTTGGTGTGACAGTAAGTACAGTGTGTGAAGTCGTGGACCCGTGGACATCAGGTGGGTTTCTGACTGTGCATGTAAAGGTCCCATTGTCATTCAGTGTGGCATTGACTAAAGAGATTGAAGCATCTCCACGTGCCGGGGTGCCTTGCCACCGGATTCGACCGCCGAACTGACCCTCTGTTGGCGGGTACGCCCGTGAGGAGAAGTGGAGAAACTGAAAGGAGAAAAAGACATCTTACATCTTTATATGAAAGACAGAGGAGTGGTTAAATAGCCTGAGCAAGCTGAAAATGATATTTGAGTGTGCAGGAAGGCTGTGCAGTGAAATGTGGCTATGCATTGTGCATATTTCAACCTGCTGTGTCACACTAGGAGACTAACGCCTGAAACTGTGTAAATTAATGATCATTTTCCTGTTCAGAGAGCACATAATACTACTCATCATTTGCAAATCTAACTTGTCTGGAGAAACAGATGGCGGTTGGACATCCTTTCCTTGGGCAACATTGTTGACAGAGGGAAGAGGGCTCCTTGTTCCATCTGAGAAATACGAATAAAATCCAGCAACTCCCAAAGGACATTCACGCTAGTGCACAATTCTGCAGGAGTCTTAAAAAATGAATCTACGTCTGTGTTTAACATTTACCACATCAGTCTGTTTTCAACAACAAACTCCATCCCTTTTATCACTCCCACATCAAGCTGACCCAGACCTCTCTACAACATGACATCCGGAGAATGAGTGTGCTGTGCATGTGGGTGGAAAAGAGGGGGATAAAAATGTGTAAACACGACAGAACATGTTTTGCACAGAGTAAACTAAGAGTGCAGAATGTGTGCTTTATTAAGTTTATGACACAACAATACGCACAGACATGGAGGAAAAGAAAAAAATGAAAGTAAACAAATAAAATACAAACAAGAAAAGGGTAAAGAATACAGTCTGAAAGTATGTATTTGTATTGTCATGGTTTTCTGCTCCTGTTTGAATAATGTGAAGAAAACTCCACCAACATGAAACACAGGATTTAATGAGAATCTCCTTTATTAAGATAAAAACATAATTATCTATTTCCACAGCAATACCAGATTTGACCTAAACACTGTTGTTATTTATAATCGCACCAGTTTCCACCTTTTTTTACTCTCAGTATTACTGCGTGCACGCCTCCTCAAACACAGATGATATTAAACAAGATCACAACAACTTACAATGTTACAGTAAGTTTTAAAAAACAAAATCTTAACTAGGGTTGATCTGAACATCAAAAAAGTGAAAGAGTTGTTGACAGAGCTGCCGTCAACCCACTAAGAAACTGTTTGCAGTTATGTCACAACCCACTGAAAACACGTGCAAAGTTGTTGGTGTCGCATGCGCAAAATACCTACAAATTGTTGAGTGTGTGCTCTGTTAGCTGACAGTCACCCATAGTTTGCACATGAAATGCTGACAAACACAAACTACTCACCAAATGGTAGTGAAACTGAAAAGTGTGGTGCAAACAGGAAACGCAGACCTTTGAAATCTGTTTGTTGTAGCAGTAAAGCAAATGTTCTCCATTTCGGTTTGCACTGCACTTTTCACTGCCTGGAGAGAAAAAGCCAGGTGTTTGGAGAGAGGTTAGCATCTTTCATGCAAACTACAGATGGCTCCAACAACCTGCTAATAAACAAAGTTTTTAGTGCTCTTTGCGACTGATTTCACGTGGCTGATGCCTGAGCTGTCCTCGCAACCCATACTAGGCTTCTGACATATGGTAATTTAGACACAGAACATTTTCCGAACAATTTCCAATATAAATACAGATGAATCCATGCCCAGAGACCGCTAAACATACATGTAATTTCCTACAACTTAACCAGACAAGTATTTGAGCGAATACACATAATGACAAGTAGTACGCTCAAGTAGAACTGATAGCAGAGATAATCTTCTTTGTGCTCAGGAAATCTGATAAACATGAACCATTCACAAAGTGCTACAAACCCTAAATATAATCCCTCCCTTTCCTGAAAAGTACATGAAAATAAAACTGAACAAACACAATAAAGTTTTATATTATTTATAATGTATTCAAACTGGCTTCACAAACTCAGAACAATATTTACTTTGAAAAAAAATCAAGATTAGGTAAAAACGTTTGCCTTGTTTGAAGTTTATACATTTACTGCCTGAAATGTGCAAATCTCTGTGAACACTGTCAACAAGGATACCTGCATATGATGTTCACAATAAACTGAGGCAGGAAAAAAGCAAAACCACAGAATCACCTGGATAATTACTAGGATTGATAAGGTTTTATGCTTTTACAGCCTCGTGCTGTAGAGGCGGGCAAAGATAAAGATGGTCATATCAGTGTTGCTCACTCTTGGTTGATCATTTAAAAGTTGGCAGAGCTCAGCCTACATGAGAAAAGCTTGAAATCAGTTACTACTACTAGACTCTGCTCAGGCTGAAAACAAACATTAGACCCAAAGGTACTTTTGAATTCATGAGAGATGCTGCAGCATGACTAAGGATGGAAGACTGTTTTCAACTGAGACCACCTACATTTAAACAAATGCTTCCCCTGACTTGAGAAGCTTAGCAGCAACTTTTAGATCATAATAATAGATTTTAATGTAACATTATTCAGCAAAACCCAATAGCCAAATCCTTCAATTACCATCAGCTTCCACTGATATTTGATTGAACATTCAGCCTCTCTTCGCCAATCTACAAAATTAATTCTCATCAGGACTGGAGGTAATTATGTAAGCCACTGAAGCACTGCAGCAATTCAGATTGACACTAAAGCTTTGGCAGCAAAATTATATTTTCTGATAGAGGTTTTCACATGCTTATTCATGGCCTCTCCCAGCATGATATACGAGCAGGGACACACAGGCCAATAAAGCAGCCAAAACTGCAAATGAAATTGGATGGGAAGTAAATGAAGGCTTAGAAGCAAGTCTGGAAGTTTCTAATTGTTATTTGTATGTACTGGTCGCATCAGGAACCTGCCTCTTTTTATTTAGGTTGAGTTAGTTCTGATGAACTGCAGGAAAAGTGGGCTCCTTTTTTTGTTAGGAAGCAGCTGGCTCCTCCTCTCCCCCCCCCCAAACAGCTGTATGGCTTTATCAAGCAATTACTGCAGACTGACACCCCAACGCTAATATAGCATGCATCTCTCCCTCCACACAACTACATCTTAATGAGAGTGAACCAGCAAAACTCCATATCTGCAGAGCCACAAAGCATTAGCCTCTACTTTACTTCTAGTGCTCCTATAGGAAATGGTTGCATAGAGGGTTGCAGCTACCACACTATGGATTCTCACAGTCCAAATGCAATTACAGAGAACCACAGTGGATGGCTATCTTAAAGTACAAATGGAAATGCTTAAATGATGTGGTGTGTTTCCAGTGGATTGGTCAGTGAAACTCAAGCCACACTTAGAGGACTGAATGCAGTTATGGGTTAGGATGGATACATTTCAACGCACTTCGAACAAGACCACAATTCCATCGCATGAGGAGGGGTCTATTAAGGTAGCTCACTTTCTGGGGTTTTACCGAGGAAGCCACAAAAGATGGACTGGAACATGAATGGGTAAAACGTGGACTTTTTTTTTTCTCTTCACACCGAGGCTCATAAATCAGATGAGTTTGGCATAAACAAAATTGTAATTAAACTGAATTTGCTTGAGGGTGTTGCCGCTATCACAGCAGGTGTTCAGGTATGTTCAGAAATCAAGCGAAGTCGAGCTGGCCATGAATGCAAATAAAGCAATCACATATTCAAACAAGCTGTGTTTGCACAAAGTGGCAATGCGTGTCACAAGCCTGTCTTATGAACAATTTCTGTGTGAGGCCCTGCAAGTTCAAAAATATTTTATGTCTGTTAAACTGTTTTTTGGGGGTGTTTTTCAGCTGAAGAAATGTGTACAAGTGATGTGTTTTGCAACAGAGGGCCTAAAGATCACATTTAAAATGGGCTCTTTGCCAAGATGTCTGTTACGTGTAGACATAGCACTGGTTCATCCCATGAGTTAGGTGCCTTTTCAATGCTTGAATGATTCCTAGGTCAGTGTTATGTTGCTTATGAAGGACTGTACTGAGAATAAGTGAAAAAACAACCAGTGAGAAAAGAAAATCTTTGAAAGACTTTATGACAAGAAACTCTGGCCCCTTGAAAGCAAGAAAGAAGACATGAAGTGCAGGTCAGGAGGACCTTAGATATATAAATACTGTCTGGAGTCTATATTTTATCTTCCAACTATAACTTCAGCCTACAGTGATTGTGAAGCAACGTATCTGACATGTTTCACAAGGATTTTCTTGTTTTGTCTTGTTTTGCCCCACCTTAATAATCCATAGCTCCTTCCCTGCCAGGCTGAGTCATGTTTAGTTCAGCTACACTTTTTATTTCAGTTCAATGAAATCTAATTACAAAGACTTCACAAAATGCATTACATTTCTACAGTCAGTGTCAGAGATTTTGTCTTAATCTCTGGCTCTCTTCCACAGCATGAGCCTGGTTCTGACAGAGGTTTCTTCCTGATAACGGAGTTTTTCCTTCCCATTGTCGCCAAAGTGCATATGATTGTTGGGTTTCTCTCTGTATGTATTATTGTAGGGTCTACCTTACACTATGAAGCGCCTTGAGGTGACTGTTGTTTTGGCGCTGTATAAATTAAATCGAATTGAAAAAAAGTCTTACCAGCACTCCATATTTAAAAAAAAAAAAAAAAAAAATGTATAGACAGACAGCCACCAATAAATGAATCTATGAACCGTTGACATAGAAAAATCGGCTACTGAGAACAGTAATTATCCTGCGAAGGAAACAAAAAAAAACAAAACGAAAAAAAAAACAACCCAACAACCCCATAATCCTGTTTATCTGTTACCAAATTATAGTCGTGGTCTTCTAATTTTCATGTGTGATAATAAGTCATCATTAGTTAGTTCAGTAAATAATGTCATTACTGGAAGCACAGCTTTGATCTCTCTATGATCTTTTACAGAGTAATACTTTCAACTGACATCTACATTCAGCCGGTGCACTACAGTGTTTATTTGTTCTCTTGTCCAATTATCTTTTAATGTGTAAAACTCCCAAAATGAGTCAATTACAGGTGTTTAACATTTCACTGCAGTTATGGCTGCAAATAAAGCACACACATTATTTTGCAACACTGGCTGCAACACAGCCTTGAAGTTAATTTGGATAAAAGTATACTCACCATCATTGGTGGACCTCCGCTCTGCGGCCGGTAAGACCAGTCAACTGTCATCCTACTAGTTGGCCTACTTGTGGAAGTAAATGAACAGGACAATGTGACAGTATCTCCTTTAGATGCATGGACCTCTGGTGGTGTAGTCACTATGATGGAGGAGACTGGGGAAGGAGCTGGAGGTGAAATATTATAATAGAAAAAAAAGAAGAAGAAGAAGAAGAAGAGAGACCGCTGGTCAGAGATGAAAGCCAGCCAGAAAAAAAAAAAATGGGACTGTCATGTACAGATTTATATATTTGTGTGTAAAGCAGGAAGGAGAACACAATGTGAGTGACGTTTTACCCACTGCAAAATAGAGTGTGCAAATATGCTCACACCAAGGTAACAACGTCCTCCGGATAGACACAGAACTGACTGACGCTAATGCAAGTTACTCATCCGACTCTCTTGCTGAATTGGACAGACCTTGTTTTACATTTGTATCTCTCAGAGGCCTTCAGCTCTGTCTCGCTCTAGATGGCTTTTCATTGTTATTTCTTCAGTGATAATACCAAGGGACTCAACATCAGCACTGTCCACAACAAACCGCTCAACTACACCTATAAACAAAACAAACAAACAAACAAACAAACAAACAAACAAACGGCTTCTCTTGCTAGTGCTTGCACACACACTATGAAGACTGGATTCAAAACACAGTGGACAGACTGTGCAGCAAGGTTTGAAATTTCACCCTGTTCAATATCTTTGTTTAACATGTTGATTGCTAATTAGCAGTAAAAATAAAGTGCAAAGTTTGGCGCGATGTGACACTACATTTAAAAAAATAAAAAATAAAAAAATCAGTTCCATTTACCCTAATAGGACCTTAGGGATCTGTGGCAAATTTCACAGCAATCTAGCCGACAGCTTTGCCAAAATGATTTGTTCTGAACCACAGACACCAAGCTTCTCGTGGCCAATCCATCCAGACATGGTTATTTCAATAAATGCATAAAACTGCTGCTGATAGCAATACAGAAAATGTAGAGGATCGCCAACATGACCAGGAATGATCCTTGAGAGACTCTGTGCATCTGGAGCCATTTTTTTGTTTTGTTGTTTTATGCAGTAACTGTAAAGGTATTTTCAGTCTCAAGATGAAATGTCAGCATTGCTGTGGTGCATGCCACAGTCACCTCCTCTGGGGCTCATGAAAATTCTGGCTATGTGAAAGATTTCTGACTGAAGCTGTAACTGGTAGACTGATAAAACAGCCTGACCAACTTTGACTCGAGCTAAAGTGAATAAAAGCATCATCATTGTCCCCTTCAAGACAAAGTATTTATGTGAAACCGGCTGCATTTTCCCTTCAGCTATCTCTGACATTAACACACTGCTTTTGGAGGGCAAAAATGAAAGAGCCCTTCATTTCCAGAAAAAGCCTCAACATGCATTTTCTATGGGAATTTACCAAAAGCAAAATAGAGCGATCCCCTGATATAACCAATCTTATTAGAACAACACCACTGCTTTCACCAAGCATCCCAAGGGACATGATAAGGCCAAAGTTTATATTAAACACATGAGCAGAAGAGATCTCATCCAATCAGCCCGATTCATCGACAAAGACCTTGGGGTGACTTGAACAAAGCAATCTCTTCAAAACAGTGGAAATCAAAAAGCCAAACCACTCTTGAACTTGAAGATAATAAATGCTGATAATATCGTAATCAGTGCTGGGACAGGAACACCGGCAGCTCATCGTTGGGCATGTTGACACTCGTTTTTGGACATTTACTTGAGTAGAAGAGCGAGGATGAGAACACACTGTGTAAGCATGTTTTTATGTAACCTTGCAAGGAAAAACTCCCTATATTAGTACAACCTTGATTCCACAAAATTTGGATGCTCTGTAAAACGTAAACTCAAATAAACATATTTTTTGACAATATAACACACAAAACGTGTTTTGAAACTGAGGCATTTTACTCTTTCATAAAATACATAAGCTCATTTTGAATTTGATGGCAGCAACACGTCTCAAAGAAGTCAGGATGGGGAAAACAAACACCTGGAAATGTAAGAGGCACTAAAAAGAAACAGCTGGGGAACTTTTTCAACCAATTAGGTTTATTGCAATTAGGTCAGCAGCATGATTGAGTATTAAAAACCAGCTTAGAGAAGCTGATTTCTTTCCACATTTTTTTTCTTTAGCTTATGCTGGTGGGCTGAATTTCACCAGTCTGCAATAAACGGCATCTTTAAATTGTGAAACAATTTCAAAAACAATGTTCCTCAAGGTAAAATTGTGACGAATATGTTAGCATCTACAGTACATTCACTAAAAGATTCCAAGAATTTGGAGAAATCTCTGTGCGCGACGGGCAAACTCACACAAATTCAGGTTAAAGCTATCATGCAAAGAAGAGGCATCAACACAATACAGAAAGGCAAATCCACTTAAAACAGAGACAGAACATAAATAATCTGACCACAGAATAGCATTAAATTTTAAATTATTTTTGGAAATGACACCACATCCTTTGGACTAAAAAGGAAACAGGAACAATCTGGCTTGATATCACTGCTCACTTATAAGTCCTGCATCTTTGAGAGTACAGGGGTGCATTAGTGCCTATGGAATTGGCACCACCATTGCTGAAAGGTATATACAGGTTATAGAGCTGCACACGCCCCCATGCAGACAACATCTTTTGCAGGGAAGCCCTTCCATATTTTAGCAAGACCATGCAAAACCACATACTGCAGATATTACAGCAGCATGGCTTCATAATAGAAGAGTCCAGGTGCACAGTGAAGTCCCCGGTCTCAATTTTTGGGACACATTGCTGCCGTCAAATTCAAAATGAGCTAATGTTTTTCTTAAAATAATACATTTCCTCAGTTTAAACATTTCATATGATCTCTAAATTCTATTAACAATTAAATTTGGGTTTATGAAGTATATTTGAATCATTGCATTGTTTTTAGCTACATTTCACACAGCATCCTAGCATTTTCACAGAACTGCGTTTGTGGACGTGCTGATGTTACACCAACCTCTCCGTGTTTTATGTTGTCCACGACAGTCATGACTCTATTTTCACAATTTATTTTTTTTATTTTTTGAAAGTCTGCCCACAGTTCAGCGCCATCTTTGACAAAATACCGTGGTCTTGTGTTACTGAATAACAACTGTCTGATTGATTTTTTTTTTTCCACGGCTGGTTTCATAACTAAGGTCTATTATTATGCTTATTATTAAGAGCCGAGCGTGTGTGGCTGCCCCCACGGCAGCTACATTAGCAAGCCTCTGTGGATTATTAGGCTTATTACCACAAGAGGGAATCATTAATTAGTTGACAGAGACTTAACACTTGTCTGAGTACAGTTTACTACAACTTCGTGGTGTTTACTGGGTTACATTTAGTATATTTTGTATTCACTGGTTTGTATTATATATTCACTGGCAGTGTTTATATCTAAAACGAAAAGCTATAAACGAAAAAAACTACAAATAAATATGGCGTGCTAGGTCTATGGAAGTGTTGAGTAGGCTTTAGACCCAGAAGGCCTCCATTGTCTTGGGCATTTATGTGATAGCCTTAAAAACGAAACGTGTAATGTACAACTAACAGTGGTGAGCTAACGACACTGAAAACTCAAACGTCAACTAAATTTTAAACAGCCTGTGTTTAACGAGTTATTGCGGAAATGGGACATAAGTGCCAGCCTACCAGCCCAAACTTTGAAAGACGCGACAGGGGTTGTGTGAGTATGGAGGCTCGAGTTTAAAAACAAGACAGCCGAGCCCGGGTTCGGTCTACTCACCCAAACAGCAGAGCCAATACAACAGCAAAACCACGTTCAGGGCGCTGGTTCTTCGGAGCGGTCGACGCATTTTGAAGTTGGGGGGGAAACGGGCTCCAATGCGTGAAGTTTAAAAAAAAAAAAAGGTCCAAAGTTGCGTCAAAGCTTCAGTAAAATTCCGCCCATAGTCAATTTTTCATGACTCAGTCTCCGATAGCGTCGCCTAGGCGGACCGCCCTACCACTACCTGCCAAACAGGTGTATCAGGAAGTGGCGCTCAGACAGTAAAATTAATTTTAAGCATAGGCGCTGAATACAAGTAGACGCAATTTATGATAGCTATGACCCTCGCCTGACTCGTTAGTGTGTTTTTTATTACTCGCATGAGAAACTCCATGAAAATGCCACGATGGGACGCAAAACACTCGCGTAGTAACCCTGTTTTTCAGAATAAAGCAGCGATAACAAATGTATGAGACCACCCGATGTCAGGTTTATGCCACAGCTGCCCTAAATTAACAGTATTTGTAATTACCAAAATATTTTTTTGTTTGTGTAATGGTTAATTTGGCAGTATGAACAAGCTCTTTAATCAACATATTGTTTGGAGTGCTAAAATGTAATTATTGTTTTTTTATCCACGAATTCTCAGATTTACTATTTAACAGAAAAAAAAGAATAACGCATATTATTTTATTTATTAAAATGCCCAATTGGAGTTATTTAATTAATAAATCAAATAAATATGTTTTAGTGGTTGAGGATTATGCTTAATTCACTTATGATTCATCAGAAAAGGGCAGTGTGCCAACTCTTGTGTGTTGATGCAAGTATATGTGAACTTGTGTTGTGTATTTAAGCTGGTTAATTTCTAAAAATAATAATAATAATAATACAACAAAACTGTTTTATTACGCCTGTTTTGAGGTTTTTAAAACAGACATTGGCCAAAAAGTGCCGAAATGAAACCACATTAAACTGCAATAAACTCCCACCCACCCACTCTCCTCTGTGTGTGGAGGCCTTATCTCCCAAGCCAACCCTACCCAGCGATGCTCTACTGGGACCTCTCCTGGTATTTCTAAGCATATTACACCACTATCGCTGTCCCCAATCTCATGTTTTTACCACTATAATTATATCCACAGGGAGAACGGGTTTGTTTTTCTAGCCTCAGTGTAGTTTCAGTGGGATATCAACCCGTTCTCACTCCCGACGCGTAAAATAATGACGATTTGTCACGTCCCTTAACTTCTCATGCTGACGCCTAATTACATGTTTGCACACATCGTTTGATGTTTGTGTCTTTATTTGGTCTGAATTCTCAGCTCCATTCTTATATTCAACTGCTCTGCCAGGGACCTTTTTCCCCTCTAATCTGACAGCAGCTATGGTTGCTGTAATGGGCCTCCATAACTTCATTTTACGACACATCAGCGTAAGAGCAGCATCCTCTATTACAGTGGCTCCAGCTCTCTGAAATAGTACATGTAATATATCAGCAGGCTAATATAATTGTTTGTAATGTGCAGTTCAGGATCTTGGGGGAGGGATTGCACCATGGCATTAACTTCCTCTGCAAGTAATCCCTTCTTTCTTAATCTTAATCTCTAGGAATCTTTCTTAATGTGTTTCATGAAATAGTAAGAGACCAAATAGATTTGTTCTTATTCCATGTAAACTTGTGAGATGTGAGTGTGGCGGAGGTGAATTCTGCCTAAAGACATCACCCTGGGATGGATGTACACAGTATTTGTTTTTATTTTTTCTCTTTTTTTGGACAATATTTGTATCTACCAAAGGAGGGCTCTGCAGGGAAAAACCGACTGAGAACCACTTTGGTTGGTCAATTGCAGAATCTAAATTGATTGCAAAGTTTTTGTCCCCTCTCTCAGAGATGAGAGGCACAGGCCACAGGCTTTCTCCTCCTCCTCCTCCTCCCGTATCCATTCACAAGTACACGGTTTGTGTTGTATCTGTTAACAGTATTATGTAACAGTTCCCACACTGAGGCAGGGATACCACCTCTCTTTTTTTTCTTTTTTTTTTGAATAGATGCTGAGATGCAGGACTCCTGGCTTACCAGGAAATGAGCACTAACACCTTCCATGTAGTGGGATATCTTATAATCTGATCGAGTATAGCCTCTTACCTAGATACATGCAGGCACATCAGATGAATACAGGGGCTCTCTGTCTGGTTACAGTGGCGGGGTCTCAGTTTCAGCTGAAATCTTCTCAGTCACAATGAAGTCTGTCCCCGCTCACTGACTCTCCGGTGGCTCTGGTGGACAAGAGGCCCGTTCTTCTGTTGTCAACACTGGATGGGGCTAATAAAGGTGATCTTAAATTGTCATGGGCCAGATGGTATATGGGAACCGTCATCCATCGGGCAAAAAAACAAGAAAAAGCAAAAACCTGAGAATCCTGCAGTCTTTTCATCAGCTGATTTACACTGAAAAGCTGGTAAAAAGAACAAAAAGTCGAATCTGCTGCACTGGTTTGTGTATTTTAAAGGTTTTGCATACAGATGCACTTTCCTCAAGGCTGTCACAAGTAAGTACAACAACATTAGTCATAGCTGTACAAGCTGTACCTCTCACTGAGAATAAAGCTGACTCTCTGCCTTTAAAATAAATGTATTCATAACCAGTGAGTGTTTTTTTTCTGCAACTCACTGTGCATGTTTTCTGTGTGCACACACGCACACAAATGAGTGTAAAGTCATTTATTTCTACAACACTGTGCTAGGTACAGACCACCTCTGGAGTGTGGAGTGCAGACTGGAAGGAGAAGGAGGAACGGAGCAAGACATGGCACAAGCAGGAAAAGGGAGTGAGTTCAAGAAAGACATGAATCATTTCTTCAACATTTACTTTACTGTGCGCTCCCCGTAGAATATAGAGGTGTTTTCTGGGTGCGTGGCAATGCTGAACACACTGTGAAAGACAATGGCTTGTTAAATGAGTCATGGGCGAGCACCTCTCCTGGGAGTTTAGTTCTCAAATAGGTAAGAGGGATGAATGCACAAAGGGCAGATACACAGAAATCAATCACCTCGGTCGCATACGATGTGTTTCCTTTCAATGACAGGAGAGGGGAGGGGTTAAGAACAACAGCTGCATTGAAAATTTAATGCGTCTCCTGTCCTTCCCATCATGTTTCTGCTTGCCTGGCCAAATAGATTGATAGCACAGAGAGTGGTGTCATTAATTTGCCCAAAAGTGTTTTGGGTGTTGCATTCAAATTTGGTCAATGAAGATAAATAATGCTCAAGAAAGTCAAAAATCCAGGTGTACATTATGTTATTTAAACATCCACAGTTGATTATTATTATTATTATTATTATTATTATTATTATTATTATTGCTCTTTCTACTATGAAATATAATTATTTAACATCCCCCCTTCCATTTTTAGTTAATCCTCCTGCAGACTTGCTGACACTGTTAAAGTCTGTCACTCAGTAACTAAAGCTGGCCAGACTTTGATCGGTGCTCACAAATGGACTGCCAAACACACACACAAACACACAGACAAATGTATAGAGTGACATATTTGTAGACATGACCAATCAGAATTCAGTAAACAAACCCAGACTGAAGTGACAAAGGCAGGTATGAGCATACTGGACCTGCAAGGAATGAAACAGTGATTCAGGACATTAATGTTTACTGGTACAACAAGTGTAAAGCTCTCTAGACGCACAATAAACACGCAGCTGTAGATAATGCATTAAAGATAATGATGCATAATAAATGCTGGATAACAAGATTACTCTCTTACATAATAGATGACATATATGAAATCACACTGAGCTCTAAGTGAAGGTCCGCATGTCCGTGTCTTTTTTTGTGCAGTGAACTGAATGTAGTCAAGAGTCAAGGGCCATGATTATTAGAAAATTCTCTTTTTTTTATTATTTTCTTTAGAAAAGCTCTATAACAAATACATAGAATGACACTTTTTAAAATCAACATGATAAAATATTTCTGGCTTTATCTACAAAAGAAGAAAATAAAAATCTATAAACATAGTGCTCAATATTCAAATAGAAGTAAAAAGTCTGTCACACAAGGATGAAAGACAGGCAGCAAATTCATTTGTTAGTAGACACGATGCATTCACAGGCGCATGGAGGGGGGGAAAAACAGGCTCTCATTTTCAAATCAAAAGGGTTTTCAGATCTGACTGTGCGCTCCCACACAACACTCAGGGCAGGTGCATGCGCAGCTGCTTGCTCATGGATCAGATATTTGGCCTTGAGAAAAAATGGCAGCAATATTTATGCTTTGTTTCTCCATTTGATATGACACATTGTACACATCTCTGTGTACTCGAGTAGGACAAAGCTACTCCTGACCAGTACTCGCAGGCTTGCGTCACGATGGTGTGCATAACCGACTGAAATGGAAGACCTCCTGTACATTATCTTTAATGACATTTAACTGTAAAACAAAGCAGAGATACTCTCCATTAAGACGATGAAAGAAAAAAAGCCTCAGTGCAATAAAGATCTGCATATATGGCTGATCATCAGCAGTGGTGTCCTTCTCTTTCTATCTAAATACAGTTCACGCCAATGTCTTTAGGGAAATCGATCGCTTGGTGCAGCTGATTTCGGTATTGACTTCCTACACGTAACAAGATCCACGTGTCACCTGGGAGACAGCTACTGATTAAGAATTGTCCCCTCTTCCCTTCAGGACAGTAGCCAAGAGTTCAGGGTTACTTCCACAAACCCTGCACTTTTACTCACACATTTCTCCCCACATATGAATATTTCAAGTAAAACGATTCTACTTTTGTTCTGTGCTCATTCAGCCTTGTTCTAACCTCTCTGTGCTTGCTTGGAAAGTTTTCAAACTTTTAGTTTTCCTCACAGATTTGTACAGACTGCACAATTCAACCTCAGCTGCAGCACCTTTTTAATCGGACCCCCGCTGGGCCTGATGGCGAGGTCTGCAGGTATCATCTGGCATCCCTCCGTCGAGCTTCCTGGCTGGCTCCGCTTCAGCTTCTCCTCCTCAATCTGAAGCGTCACCGCCATCATCGTCATCCGAGCTCGGGCCTTCTTCCTCGGAGGAGCTCGAGTCTTTGGTGCTGGGATCTGAGATCATGCCGTCTGAACTGTCAATCTCTATGGAGGTCTCTGATAAGAAGAGGTGGACGGCCCTCGATGGGTGGCTGTGACAAACACGCACACAGATATGCACACGCAGGCGAATGGGGGAGACGAGCGAACACGGCACATATAGACACAACGGGATATGCATTCATGCATGATCATACATGTACACACCCACAAGTCACACACATTGGGGGGGGCGGGGTCAAAGGACAAAGACAAGCAGACACAAACACAGCAGCAGGGACAGAGGGTTAGCATCAGCTAGGAATAATCTGTCCCAAATTAAGAGGAAAGGTTGGATGAACATCTCTCCCACATGAGCTCTGATTGGGTGCAA